GATAGGACAGAAAGTGACTTCTATACTTTTAAAATTTATGCAAAACTTAGGAGGTCTTTAGACCGAGCCAACTATATTAAACTTTAAGATTTTTAATATTAATAAATTATTTATATATTATATGATATATTGATAGTACATCACTTCAATTTGTTAATGCTATAAAAAAATGAAACCATTGATTTGAAAAGGTAAGAAACAAATAATATTGCAATTATGTTTATTTTTTACAAAAATCATTATTTAGTGTGCATATTTGACATCAAATGAAAAAAAATTAAATAATTATATCCATTAGATGAGAAACTATATGATAATAATGTTAATGTTAATATCAATACTAAATTTTAAATTAATAATTGAATGATTGAATATTAATAATTACCATTATTATTACTAATAATAGTTACCTTATTGGAATTCACAGGTTGGGGAAGGTTTGTAAAATTTAATAATCTGCTGGTATAAACTGCATTTGGATGAATTACTGGAGTAATTGTTGAAGGATCAAATTTGATTTCATCCATTTTCTCAAACTCTTTTATAATTGATTCATCTGATTTAGCATAACTCCAAAACCTAAAAATCTCATAAATTTCTTTGGCAGTTGGACGTTTATTTGGATTAGCATCCATGCATCTGAATGCTAGTTCAATGTATGACTTTGGAGTGTTGTTTGAAAATCCAGGTCTTGCACCTTCACATATTTTTATTGCAAGATCTATATCATGTGCCAAATTATTAAATGGTTGTTGACCAGTTGATACTACAGACATCAGAATTCCAAAACTATATACATCTGATGCTTTTGTATATGGTTTCATTCTTAAAACTTCTGGTGCAATATATGGTAGTACTCCACATATATCATTTTTGTTTGATGCAGATACTTGACTAGCTAGGCATGATAATCCCAAATCAGTAATATATGCTGATGTTCTTTCTTGAAGAATATTACCACTGTGAAGATCGCGATGAATAATTTCTTTTTCATGAATACCTTTTAAAGCTTCAATAATTAGTTGAAGAATACGAATTTTGTGCTTCCATTTTAAATTTTTAAAATTTTTAGTTAAATAATTTTGAAGGCTTCCATCTTCCATATAACTCATCACAAACATATATTCTTTTGTAATTGGATCTTGTGTTAATCCATAAACACAAATTATATCAAATTCACCCTTAAGCTTCACATAATTTTTGAACTAAAATAACAAACAAAATATTTTAATTACAACAATAATAATCAATAATATTTAAAAATCTGAAAATAAATAGAAAAATAAAATAATTTACTTCATTAAGAAATTCATCAGAAATATTTTGTGAATTATGTAATTTTTTTAATGCCACAGTCATGTCCATGCTCATTCTTTCACTACCAGCTGCATACACATCACCATTTAACCAAGTAGCTTTGTATATAGTTGCAAACCCACCTTCACCCACCTTTTCAATATTTTTTAAATCATTATAAGGAATCCATTGATGGTGATAACAATTATTATAATGACTGCTTGTTTTAAGTTGTGTACTCTTAATCAATTCATCTAATGCTTCATTGCCACTAGTCCATCCTTCAGTTAATAGCTTTGGATCACATGATTGACACCATGCCCAATTAGTATTATATCTATTGCAGGTTGGGCATTTCCCATATACTTCATGTCTTTCCTTTGAATATTCATCATCATTGTCAATCATGATGTTTATTTTCATCTAAAATGTTTTCCACCTCTAAAATTTTAAAAATTTTTTTTTTTTAGCCACACAAAATGTATCGCGTGTGGAAACACAAAATAACCCCCTTATATATTTTCCATTAAATTTTTTTTATTATGATTTGTGTACCCGAATTACACTTGGCACAATTAAAGTTGAGTTGTAAGGTCATCATCATAAACCATAACATCGTTATTTACAGCCAATAGATATTGGAAGCATGCATGCGATCCAAATTATTTATTATGGTCACCAAATTTAGCAGCTGGCACACAGCCAATAATGTTTAAACTAAAATCACACTACTACTTGTGAGGTTTATTCCAATAATTTATTTTATTCGTTATGAATGAGCATTTGAATTATGTACATTGAGAACTTATTCAAATAAAACAAGTAATCGTAATTTGAATAATTTGAATAGACAAATAATTATGTAATAATATTATTTTATTTTAATAATATTAAATTTTAAATTAATATATTATTTGTATATTATAACATTATTAAGATATATTGATAAGTACACCACTTTAACTTGTTATTGGATCTTATGTTAATACATAATAACAAATAAAAAATATGTATATATTAATTAATTCACGAAATCTACCCTGTACTATTATTACCCTGGTTCTAAATTTCGTGTATCCAAGAGTTACTACGGCGAAGTTTACCAAAAATAAATAAATAATTCTTCGAAATGTCTAATAATAACAGTTACTCATCCTCAGAAATATTTTAAATAAGTTAGTAAATGATTGTCGGATAATTCAGATTAATTGGTGAAAATCAATCTAATACTAATAATTCAATATTGAGTAGACTTGATAAGACTTTAGACAATGTAAATCTTCCATGAAGTTCAGCTATTTAACAGTAATGTACCTTCTTATTTAGGAAAGCTAGTGGTAATTCAAGTAATCCAGGAAAAGGGTTTTTTATGAGGTTGGTAGTTGTCATTTAAACGAAATAAACAACACAACATAATATTACATTTATTTTCAGGCAATAAATTTGCAAAATTAAATCACCAATGATTGTTCCTTGCTTTGACATAACTAAATACCCAGAAAACCTTGGCGGGCCCCTCCCTACCGGGAGGGGGCTTACATGACCTGGGGATATCTGTTTTATGCTCTGTTTGAGTTTAAAGTACTGGATGTAATTCGTGAGAAACAGGGATGGCTTATTACATAATTTCGGAATAGTCATTTTAAACGATGAAATTGATTTTAAATAATGATAGTAGCAGCAGGAGTGTGGGAGTGATTCACAACAAATACACAAATCACACTCAGATGCATATCATCTAAGTAGAATATTAGATGAAGAAAGTTCTAAATCAAATAACTTAAAAGTTATACAAGTAATGATAGTTCATTAATTAGCATTGATATTAACTCTCTTCTCTTAAATGTTGAAGGTGAATAAAATTTCATTATTAATTGGAAATTACTATCCATTAATTACAGTATTACTAACAATATTTTTTAATTAATTAACAAGAAAAGCAGGAGAACAACGAAACAGCTAGAATCAGAAATAATAGAAACCTATGAACATGGAAAAGAAATTATTTCAGGAGCAACAGACAATTGCTTCTGCAGGCTTTAAAATTATCGAAACTAATGAAGACGCAATTACTGAAACTGAAGGAGTCATTGGTTATGCAGCACAAAAAGACAAAGAAGTTGCTACACATCCTATATATTATATGCAAAAATCAACATATTTCTTTTAGGGAAAGTTTCCACCTTTAGGTTGATTT